CTTCTCGAGCTTCATCTGCCAGAAGCGGCCGGTGGTACCTGTCGTCGCCAGGCCCTGCAGGGCGCGGGGCGCCTGGTGCGCGGCCGCGGGGACCCATAGAACCGATGGCAGAACTGCGCCGACTAGAGTCAACCCGTATAACAAGGACGCACCATAAAGATGCAAAGCCTGGAAGGCCATGTCGACACTTGTGGGCGTGGCGCGGCCAGCGAAAGCGGCCAAGGAAGGGCCGAAGGGGAAGGAAGGATAACCGTGGAAAGCCGCTCATCCTTAGTATGCGGGTTGACTGTGCGCAGCAGAAGCCAGCCGCTGCGATCTGTGACCGCGCTTTGCCGCACCTGAGCGCTAGCCCTGGAAAACTCAGTACCGCTCAGCACCGCTGCGCCGGTCGCGCTCAGTACTGGCCAGCATCGAGCGCTCAATACCGATCAACTTGACTGGAGCGATCACGACGGCCTACGGTGCACAACGATGATGGGCGATATTGAACGGCACGCGCTGCCAAGCCGTGTCCTGAAGCCTACTACGGAGCGGACAGGTGCGCCCAGCTCACTGCCACCCGATGGGACTGTGACTGGGGGGGGGTCAATGGCCCGACGCTGGGAGATGACAGCTTGCTCGATAGAGCGCTCTCGCTGCGTGAGTCCCACCAGCCCTCCGGGCGTCGGTGGTTTAAGGCGTTTCCTCTTCTCCGGGGAGGGGTTTATCACTGTTCCCTCTTAATGAACACCCCCTCCCCCAAGCGACTGGGGGCCAACCAGGGACCATGACGACCCCCTTCCCACAATCCCTTGTAAAAAAAAATGCAATACACACTGCGCCTCCAAATTCGGAACATGCGCAGCCAACCCGATGCGCCCCCCCCCCCCCGCAGTCCTTGTCAACAACACAATACAGAGTACACTTGGCGGAGGCGGCGGCGGCGGCTGCGGCGGCGGCTGCGGCGGCGGCGGCTGCGGCGGCGGCTGCGGCAGCTCCGGCTGCGGCGGCGGCGGCGGCGGCGGTGGCGGCGGCGGCGGCGCGCGCGGTAGCGACAGCGCTGCGGCCGGCGGCGGCGGCAGCGGCGGCGGCGGCGGCGGCGGCTCGGAGGCGGCGGTGGCAGCGGCGGATTGGCCCCCAGTAGCTACCCATCCAAAAACGACTGCTGAATATGCTGAAGTTCGGGCCAGACTCGGGTGCTACGTATGTCTTGGGAGGGCGGGTGGGAGTGAGCGAGACGGCTTGCGGGCGGGGGGGGGGGTTCTTGACCCCTCCCCGTACCCCCTCCCCTGGACCTGGGCGGGGGGGTTCGCGATGTGTCAGGGCGTCCAAAACAGCCTCGGCGAGGAAACCACAATCATTGGTTTTACTGATGGTTTTGGCCCCACGTTGGCCTCCTGAGGGGGGGGGCCCTTATTAAAGCTCCCATCTTGTTTGATCGATCTCCTCCAAGATGGCCCCAAGAAGCGCCCAGGAGGCACCAAGAGGTCCCAATATGGCCTCGAGATGGCCCCAAGAGGCCCCGAAGAGGCCCCCAGGAGGCCCATAAAGGATCCAAAACGGCCCCAAGATGCCCCCCCGAGGCACCCAAGACCCCGAAGAGCCCGCCAAGGAGGCCCCAAGAAGCTCAAAATGGCCCCGAGATGGCCCCAAGAGGCGCCCAAGAGGCCCCCAGGAGGCCCCCAAAAAGACCCCAAGCGGCCCCAAGAGGCCTCCCCCGAGGCACCCAAGACCCCGAAGAGCCCCCCAGGATCGCGAAGAGACCCCCAAGACGTCCCAAGAGGCCACCAAGAATCGCCCAAGAGATACCCCAAGAGGCTCCGAGAGGCATCCACGAGACCTCTGGCCCATGTGTTTGCCTTCCTCCTCCTCCTCCTCCTCCTCCTCCTCCTCCTCCTCCTCTCTCTCCTCCCTCCTCCTCCTCCTGTTCCTCTTTCCTCCTCCTCCTCCTTCTCTTCCTCCTCCTCCTCCTCCTCCTCCTCCTCCTCCTCCTCCTCCGCCTCCTCCGCATCCTATTCGTCCTCCGTCTTCCCACTCCCTCATCCATCCATCCATCCATCCATCCACCTCCTCCTTCTCCTCCTCTCTCCTTTGCACGGTTCGGCCGTCCCCCTCTTTGCTGCCGCACTTCCCTGATCACCTCAACTCGCCTGGACATCGTTTCTGGATGGGCTGGTGAGGATACTTTTTCGGTCGCGGCCGCGAGCGAAGAGCGCAGGCGGCGAACAGGGTGTCCGGGCCGACGAGCAAACCTAATTCGCTCCTGGGCGCAGCGCAAGCCGGCCGGGCCAGCTCACAAAAGCAGCAGTTGCGGCAGCGGCGGCGGGGGGCTGGCTGGCAGAACGCTGGTGGGGATACGTTTTTTTGGTCGGCGGCCGCTCGACAACGGTCTGGCGGCAACAGCGATGCCCGGGGCAACGGAACACGGCAAATTACACGCGATGCGTGGTGTGCACATGCACTGAGCAAAATGCTCCGCATTAAGGCGAACGCACATAGGCGCCAGCCACACCGAAGTGAAGCAGACAACTGGTGGGGATACGCGAAGCGTGCAAAATTCTCAACGAAGCAGCGCATCACAAGCTCGATTCTCGGCAAGGGAGGCACTGACATTCACAAGCCCGTGAATCTATTGGAGATGCAGGCGCGCGCTTCATACCAGACCACCGCAACATGCCACATGTCGTTTTGGTCAGACCGACCTCGGAGGGTCAATTGACACAACGGCGGCTTTCCCGTCCAGCCCGAATCCGCCAAACATCGGTCCCAGGACCATCCTGATAGTTTTTCGAGGCGAATCCAGCTGCGGCGACGAGGAACCTTCAGGAGGCCCAAACAGAGGAAAGACAAAAGGGAAGGGCTGAAGGCCGACGGTACTGGCCCTCCAGCGACTCCTTTCGGGCGAGATCTCGTGCCTCAGCGGCCGGTCGGGACGATCCTGGCATCCCCGGGACACCCGTGACGGGGCGCAGCTGAGGGCAATCATCCGGGGCCCCAAAGACATCCGAGAACATTGCGAAACCTGTCGACGGACCCTCCTCCGACCACCGGCAAGTACAAACTGTTCGGAGCGGGCTCTCCAAGCGAACAAGGGCTGCCGCGTGCACTGTTCGTGCGAATCCTGATGTATTCGACAATGTACTTCTTATCACCCAACGGCCACGGGCGGTCTTCGGCGGTCTTCTGGCGGTCTTCGGCAATTTTCTGACGGTCTTCGGCAGTGTTTGAAGATTTCTGGCGGTTTTCGGTGCGAAAGCTGGATTGTTGCGGTCATCAAGGGGTCCATTGTCGAACGTCCAGGAGTCGGACCCCTGACAGGCGAGCAGAGAGGGGGTGTCATTCCAAGACGCCCCCGCCCGATCTTGCAGTCGGGTTCGGCAACGGGGGAAGAGCATGGATGTTAGATCCTCGCTGGGTGCTTTACATGAGAAGCCGGGTGAGGATGCAGGGCCCCGAAGGAAAGATGCAAGGGTGTATAGCGGAACATTCTCATCCTTGCGGGGGGGGATGGCTTCAAAGGCACGATCCTCTCATCCACCCTTCCCTCGTCCTCTCCCTCCTCCTTGTCCCCCTCCCCTTCCCCCCCATTGTGGCAGGTATGGACCCGGGCCTTGCTGGACTCGTACTGCCGCCGGTAGATCACCACGTACTCCGGGTAAACCTGCGCCCAGGAGAGCCCAGAAATCGGCAGGTCAGCGTGCCCCAATGAGAGATCGGCGCGCCCCGATCGGAATCCCAAGTCGAAGCGGATCGGAATGGGAAACCATCGAAATCGAATCGAATCGGAGGCATCGGAAAGCGCCCTGCCTGCGCCTCGTCGAAGAAGACGAACTCCCTGTACGTCCCCGCCTGCGCGCGAGCCGGGCCCGCGGGGCGGGCGGCGTGCGGAGCGGGCGCCCGGGCCACGGGCGCGGACACGCCCGGCCACGCGGAGGCGCTCTGCGCGGGGGCTTCCAGGCAGGACTGCCCCGCCTCCACGGGGTCGCAGCCGAGGAGACCGGGACCCCCGAGGCAACAGATGTGGTCATGTTCCCGCCTCGTCGACGTTGTCTTTTTCGGCGCTTCGGCATTGGGCGGAAAGGGGGGGGTGCAGGGAGGGTCTGGCTCCGGACCTCTGCTGAATGCGACTGTTTGCAACAGTGCGTCCTGTGGTGGGGGAGACGCCGCCTGCTCGGACCAGGCGCCCAAAACGACCAAGATCTGCTCTAGATGGCTGGGGGCGAGGCGGGGGGTGCGAGGGCCCGCGCCGATTGACAAAACAATCAAGCAGAGATTTCACAACAAGTTCCCTCCATCTCTTCTCCTGTCTGCAGCCCTTCCTCTGTCCCTCCCCAGCTGCCCTTGCGGGAACAGGGCATCGCTGCATCAATCTGCTGTGCTCTGACAACGCGGAGCCTGTGGTGTGCCTGGTCTGATACTGCTACTCTTCGGTTGGTAGGGTGGCTGGCTTGGGCAACACTTGCCTCGGCCAGACTGGGGCCACCAGATGCAGGAACTGGAGTCCGATCTACCACAGGACTTTAACCAGTTCGAGTGTCGTGGAAATCTTCTCACAGATGGCAGCGCTAGTACGCACGTGGTTCGCGAGCTTAGCCGTGCTGGTTGGTGCTTCGGCTCGGTAGACGAGTCAGGGGAATGTTTAGCCATGATGTACGGTCATGTTCCCCCACACCCTCCGCCCAACCCCTTCCGTGCAGCCCCGTCCTTCCTGCTCCCCGTCGCCCTCCTCCCAAGCCCTTCTGTCCACCTTCCCGCCCTCCCGCCGTTCTCGCCCTCCTCCCGACCTCCTCCCCCCAACACAAGAGGGATTCGGCATCCCCGTGCCCTCTTGCCCCCTCCCTTTCCTCAGCCTCCTCCCCCCCCTCGGCCCCCGTCCTCCTCCTCCGTCCTCCCGGTTCTTCCTCCCTTCAACCCCCAACCCCCTCTCCTTCCTCCCTTCCACCCCCCGGTCCTCCCTTCACCCCCCTCGGCCCCCATCCGTCTCCTCCTCCCTCCCTCCCACTTGCCTGGGCCGGCCCCTTGCCGGCCCCAGGGGGGGCTGTGCGCTCTTCATCGCGCGCGGGGCACGGGCCCGTGCGCACCGCAGGCGTCCTGGAGCGAGGCGGCCCGCATGCTTTTTGCTCTTCCCGGACAGCGCCTCGGCAGAAGAACACGCCAGGGGGCCACATGCGATCCCCACCCCTACCCCCCACGATTTCTGGGGGGGAGGGTGGGGTTCCCCGAGCGAAGTGAACCCCACCCTCCCCCCCAGAAATCGTGGCGGTAGGGGTAGGATTCGCATGTGGCCCCCTACCCGTGCAACAGGAGAGGGCAAGGACCACAGAGAGTCCCACTGGGGGACAGGGAGCCCCGGGACCGCCCCCCGAGATCGCCCATTCTGGCAGCCCTCTCGCCTGCGACCTCCTCTCAGGTTTTTCAAAGATCGTGCCCTCGCTGAGATGCGGGCTGCACCTTTGTGCCTGGAGGGCCACGATCCCCTGTAGCAGCGGCACTGCGGTGCGCATGGCCGTGTTCTCACCCCTATCCCCCCTACGGCCGACTTCCCAGTCCTCGGCCTTCCTTATCACCCTGCTGTGGTAATGTTATGCCACCGTGTCAAGGGTCGTCCACGCGATGGTCCAGTTCCCCGAGCTTCTGCAAATAAATACAAGCGCGGTACTCTAGTAGGCAAATTTTCCGGCAAAGTGCCCACTCGACGAGCCAGCCTGTACTGCCGTCGTAGCAGCTGGACCCCCCGATCTTCCAGAGGGTCCCTAGTTAGAGCAGTATTGGTGTTCAGTATCATGCAACGCATTGTGTAATACCAGGCTCGTCTTCGAGGCAAGTCCCGTCGAAATTACCGAGACGTCCTCCGCTGTCCAACATATGATGAGTTCATCGATGTTCGTGTCATCAAACAAGTTGCAAGGTCAAAACAATTCGCTGGCGCGTTACTGTATTAAATTACAGAACCCCTGAGGCAATTCGAATATGAGGGCCAACTCCAAACGAAGGTACATGACAACACCAATTCCTCCCCAAGCACTTGAGGGCTATGTCACCGCTAAGATTGTCCACGAGCTCCCCCGAATGCTATGCGAAACCACATCAATGTCGAACACTGTCGTTGGCACCTAGGTATTCTGGAAGTTAAGGCTTGGACCCACAGTCACAATCTTCCCTGTGAGTGTCATGACCATCGTAATGATATCCATGTGCGATGTCGCGAAAATGATGATGATGTCGCCCGCGTGTCTGCTGATACTTGCAAGGGCGTCCCCACCATCAACGTGAGGGCCTTTTTCCCGTCACCCGATCTTTCCACTTGCGCAGTGCCTGGAGGGCTCAGAATGTCGTCTTGCTCGACGCTTCTCTGAATCTCCACCCCGGCGGGAACCACGACCTCGCCCCTGCCGATCTACATAGAGGACAGACAACATTCGGACATACTCGTCGCCCACACCTCGGCTCCCGAGCGACACCAGCAGTAGCTCGAAATGATGCGATCGAAGGCGTTGCTCGCATCCAGACTTACGCACCACGTAGGAGCATTTCATTCCAGGCCCTTGTCACACACGCATACATATTCGGACACAATGACAGCGTCGTCAAATGATCGTGTACTTCGAAATCCAACCTACCTTGCTGATTCTGGAACATCCGACACCCCGCCGAACTGGTGATACAACGAACGTGCAAAGAACTCGTAGGATCTTCTCAAACTTGCATGGGCCTCCAAAGGTGCGGAAGGGCCAGATGTTGGGTAGCATCGAAAAAAATATTTCCTTCCAGGTCGGGTCAACGATGCCCTCATGTTGCATTTTGTTGAGACGCATCCTCCCGTTCGCCTTCTCATCCTCTTCCCGCCCTCGCACTCGTCCCATACGCCATCATGATGCGAGGCGCCGAGTGTAAGGTCATCAAGTCCCGTAGTCCCTCCCATCGAACATGGAGCATCTCCTAAAATTATGCAAGTGAAGTGCCCTGTACCCCAGATTCCCAGAACCCTTCGGCGTTCTTGGGCGCTCCTGGGGTACATTTCCTGGGAGCACGGCCGGGAGTCCAGACTGCCCACGTGTCCAGAGACTGGCCCCGAGGGGCCACTGTGAGGCGCGTGGGCCGTCTTGGGGCATCCTGGGGGCTGGCGTCGCACCGAGCAGCATGCAATGTCCGCATGCGTTTCGAACATCTGGCATGCTCCCCATGACCATTGGGACTGTTCTAATCAGTGTCACGCCTCCGCCTCCTCACCGATCGTCTCCTCTCTGTCTCCCCCTCCCAATGCTGAGACCCGCTTCGAATCTGACACATGTTCAGACTCACGCATGCGCAAACCGATTGGCACCCAGACCCGAACACACTCCGAATCCCTCGTACTCAGACTCGCTCAGACCACTCTCACACGGATCCTGTCCGGTGCGGTCTGATCATACATAGCCCGGCTCATACACAAAGACCACTCACACCCATACAATCGGGGCGTTGACCTAAGGAACCCTACATAAGGAACGAGGCCGCTTTTTCCCATAAGTCAAACTTCGATTTCCCATGGAAAACCTAAGGAAAACCTCAGGTACGCTGTAAAACAATGAAGGAACACGGAGCCCCTCCCCAACGAGAAGGGTTCCTTCTTCAGCGCCTCGACTGTATCATTCACACTCACATTCGCTCATGCTCAGACCCACATTCGCATCCTCAAGCCCACCCACACTCAATTATTCCTGCTCACCCAACGCACGTCTGGCAGCGTGCCCTGGGGCACGAGCTGGAGTGTTCTCCGGTCGCTTAGAGTTCCCTTTACGGGATATCGAACAGAATCTACAAGATCTCCAGAACTCCAAATCCCAGAACGGGAGCCCGCAACCAAAATTCCCAGATCTCTTGGGCGCTCTCAGGGTCGGTCGCGTGACTGCTCCAGGAGGCAAGCGGGCCCCAGACGGGGCAAGAGGGCCTCAAGAGGACCCCAAGACGGTCAAAAGAAGCCCCGAGTCGCCCAAAGATCGCTTCAAGACGCCCCAGACGGCCCACAGAAGGCCCAAGAGGCCCCTACAAGGCCCCTAAGAGGGCTGTCTTAGCCCCCCCCCAGGAGGGCACCGAGATGCCAAAACCATAGTTTTCGATTAGGTGTTTGGAAGCTGTGTGTTCTCGCCTTTTCAGCTTTCGGCGCACCAAGACGGCCAGGACGGTGCCCCCCACCCTGAATGGCTCCATAACGGGCCAGGACAGCTCGGAGACGCCCAAGATGGCCTCAAGCCGGCGAAAGATGGCTTCGAGATGCACCAAGAGAGCCCCAAATGCCGTGCAAAGAAGGCCCCGGGAGGTCAAGATCATTCATGTTCCTATGGTTTGCCAATGGTTGTTTGAGTCTCTACTTCCCGAGCTTCCGACACTCCAAGACGTCGCAAGATGCCCCCAAGACCGCCACAGGACGGCCCAGAGGACGCCAAGAGGGCCCCAAGATGGTCCAAGAAAGCCCCAAGACGTCCAGAGAGGAGATCAAGACGGCTCAAGAGGACCCCAAGACGGACCGAAAATCCGAGCACACCGCCCCACAAGGCACACAGGAGGCCCCAAGAAGCCAAACAGATACCCCAAAACAGCCCCCTGGAGGCCTCAAAACTGCCTCCAGGAGGCACCTGAGAAGCCTCGACGAGATTCCAACGAACATCCAAGAAACCCAAGACCACAACACAAACACGGTAGCGGGATGGACCGAAAACCATCAGATGGGGACGTCTCGAGTGGAATTGCCGTGTTCGGAGGTAGACATGTTTCTTATTGTTATACTGGGGAGGAGGGAGGCAGACTACTGCAGAGAGCGGAACAGCAGGCGGCGGAAATGCGCAGCAAAAAACACCGCTGGCACTCGAACTCAATCTCACACAGCCGCCGTCAAGCTAAGACTCGCTCACACTCAGACGCTCACAACAGATATTGCACATATTTGAAATGCAAATTAGATCTCCGAGTCAAAAAACTAGTGTCCAGAGCGTCCAAGGCGTCCGACGAGGACACCCCAGAGTGCCATGAGGCCCGAAGGGACGCATATGAGCACCAAGATGGAAAACTCGATTAGAGACTCTGAGCCGAACGGTCCCCGAGACAGCCAGCAGGTCCCCAAGAGATCCCAGAGGCTCCTAAGAGCTCCCAAGAGGCTCCTCACGATGCAACAATAACAAGGAGAGGACCCCCAAGACGCCCCGAGAGGCATCCAAGAGGCGTCTTGTCCATGACCGAGGCACGGTGGTGGGATGTGCCGAAGGACATTGGATTCCTGTCCTGACCCCCTTTCTCATCATCCCCCCTCCATCAGTCCCTTCTCCTCGCCACATTCCTAGTCATCGTCCCCCCTTTGATTTCTTGTCATCTCCGTCGTCCTCCTCCTCGGGTTCATCCCCTCTTCCTTGCTTTGTCACCTCTCAATCTCCAGGGGAAGGGAAACGCGCCCCGCCTTTGTCTCTCTGTCGCCGCAGACGCAATCGAATCCTTGATCCCTTGCTTCTTGACACCTGCCGCCCCCGTGTGCTTGCACGGCGGTGGGGCCACACAAGATCACTGACCAGGGGAACGACGAGCAGCAGGAGGAGGACAACGATGAGCATGGGGAGGACGAGGACGATGATGATGACAACGGCGAGAGCGCGGAGGACGAGGCGAGCGAGAAGGACAAAGAGAGGAGGAATGGATCAGGACATGAAGGAGAACGAAGATGACGAGATCCCCCCCCCAGGTACATTGCCATATCCAGTGTCCGAGTAGCGACTAGCGGCAGCGGCGCGCCCAAATAACCCCCACGATCGCCCCGAAAATGCCGTGGAGGCGTTCCGTCCAACCTGACGGCTCCCAAATCACGCGCCCGAAAATGGTAAGGCAGCGGCAGAGCACAGGGAGTGGGCGGAGGAATACGGCGGACCGGTGCTCCGGGCCTTGGGCTGCTGCTGCCTGGGCTTAAAGTCGGGCGCGTCCCCCTACAGGGGGATTTTGGACGAGGAAATGCTCCGAAATGGTCAAAAAGAGTCCAAAAATGGTCCCCGTATTATTTTGTGACTATTTTTGAATTATCCCCCCTGTAGAGAGACAAAGCCCGACTTAAGTGAAGGGGCCCTGGGACACACAAATAAATACACACAAATAAAAGGATTCCCCATATTCCCCCATTTTCTGGGTTTTTGTCTTCCCCCCACTTCCCATATTTTCCCATATTTCCCTGGGAGCGGACGATTCATTGTGTCTGTGCGTTTTTTCCCCTGCTGCTTAAGTCTGGCCCCAGGGAACCACCCGCATGCCCGCGAGCCGTGTCGCCGCTCGCGGCACCGGCGCTGGGCGCGTGCCCGAAAAGCTGCCGGCGCCAGCGCCGGTGGTCGACCCTGCTCAAGCTCGGGCGCACACTGCCACGGATGAGGTTAAGTCGGGCCTGTCCCTCTACAGGGGGAATCATCAAACATAAATCAGAAATAAAAAATAAAAATATGGTCTGGGGACGAGGTTGGGACTACTTTGGAGCATTTGGGGGGTAGTGTTTGGATTTTGTCTTTATTTTTCGCCCAGAATCGGTTTCGTGGTTCTCAGCGCGTGGGAGCCTTATGTTGCATCCTCGGGGGACCTTGTCTGTCCCGTCGCGGCCCTGTCCGCGTCGAATCCGTGTCGAATCCGTGTCGAATCCGCGTCGAATCCATGCCAAATCCGCGTCGAGTCCGCATCGAGCCTGCGTCGGGCCCCCAAGAAGACACCAATTTTGGGGACAGGCGAGGTCCCCCGAAGATGCAACAGAAGGAGCCAGGTGCGCGGCTCAGCGGAGGTCCCCCGAAGCATGGGGCCGATGCCGCCCGATGTGGCGGCGGGTCGCGACGACTCCGCGCGTGGGCCCCAGGGCCCCCAGGAGGCCTTGCTCTGCCAACTGCCAGCCCTCATCCCTCTGCGCAGGCTGGAGGACTTCTGAAAGCCTCCACCTCGCCTTATCAGGGCCACCCTCCGCGCCGAATGCCTTTTGAACGCCGCTAACATGGGGAGAAAGAGGGAAAGAGAGAGAGAGAACAAAAAAGAGAGAGAGAGAGAGAGAGAGAAAATATGGATATGGACGGAGAGGGAGGAAACAGAGAGACCGAGACTAGTTGCCCAAGTAAGAGCCCTTTAAAGCAAGCACTGTGTTGGGAACGTCGGCTCCTTCTCGTCCTCCTCTTCATCTCAGATGTCGGATGTATGGACTATTTCAGTCCATGCGCCCCGGAAGTCCTGAGCCCTTCCCAGGGGGCTTTTCTTCTGTCCCGCACCAATTGCGAATGTCCCCGTGGCCTGGAAACTGCAGAAGTTGAAGGAAAGTGGGTTGACAAGTTCAATCCGCCTGTAAGATGGATCCCTGGAGGTCACCGGAGGCCCCCATGAGGCTTCCAGAAGGAAAGCAAACAAATCCCACCGCTTCGACAACCTCGATCCTCAAACATCAACCCCCGTCTCGCCCCCTCGACACGCCTAACACGGATACGCAACGAGAGGGGACCGTGCCCAACAGTCGCATCCGAGGGACAACGTCCTCTGCTCAGTAGTCGGGCGGCGACACCGACAGCGCCACGTGCTCAGAGCGGACAAGACCTGCTTTCGGTCCTCGACTCCGCTCTTCTGAAGGGGCCCTGGGACACACAAACAAATACACACAAATAAAAGGATTCCCCATATGTTCCCATATTTGTCTCTACCTAGGCTCTGCCTAGAAGGGTTCTTACTCTGTTAGCTTAAAGGGGCCGGGCAGTGCAACACGCCCCGGGCGGTTCCCCCAGTCCCCGCCCCGCGGTTCCCCCAGTTGCGCCCCCTGGGTTCACCCAGCTAAGCTACGCTAAGCTAAGCTAAGCTAAGCTAAGCTAAGCTTACTTAGCTTAGCTTAGCTTATCTCATCGTAGCTTAGCTTAGCTTGGCTTGGCTTAGCTTAGCTTAGCCTATCCCAGCTTATCTTAGCTTAGCTTAGCATAGCTTAGCTTACCTTACCTTAGCTTAGCGCAGCATAGCGCAGCGCAGCATTAGCACAGCATATCATAGCATAGCATAACCAATCATAGCATAGCATAGCATAGCATAGCTCAGCATATCATAGCATAGCATACCGTAGCATAGCGCAACATAGCATATCATATCATAGCATATCATACCATAGCATAGCATAACATTGCTTAGCATAGCACAGCGCAACATAGCCCAGCATAGCACAGCACAGCACAGCACAGCATATCGCAGTATAGCATAGCATATCATAGCGCAGCATAGCATAGCATATCATGGCCTAGCATGTCATAGCATAGCGCAGCATAGCATAGCATAGCATAGCATAGCATAGCATAGCGCAGCATAGCATAGCATACCGCAGCATAGCGTAGCATAGCATAGCCTAGCATAACACAGCGCAGCCGAGCGTACCCTAGATGTTAATGTAGCTGTCGGTGTAGATGTAGATGTTGCTTTCTCAGATGCTCCAACTCCTAGGTAGGGTCGCACTGGGATAATCTGGGTTTCTGTCTTCCCCCCCACTTCCCATATTTTTCCACATTTTCCAG